ATAAGCATATTATGCAAGCTTATATTTACAGGAGCAAGATTTACATATATTTAAATTAATAAAAATGTAATAATTATTGTAATTTGTATATATATATATATAAATATATAAGTATATGTACAATTTGTGTACTTATTTATATATATTTCAATTTAGTTTATGTTAGCCTGAAAAATAGGTACAGGATACCTGGAATAACGTATCGTTAATCGAACCAGGTAGCCTTATAGTCATTTAAAAGGCATTGTGAAGTCAGACAAGGCATAAGTAGCATATAACACAAGTAGTGTATAGCATAGCACGAGTATATATAGTAGAGGTGATGTAGGGGAAGGTTTAGGGGAAAATGGCTTCCCTAATATAACCCTGCTCCACATTCACAACGAATATGCAGTCTTTCATTTTAGCCCCAATTAACTTGATAACCATTCTCCCCATTCTTAATCAGTAAACTTTGAATGAAAGACCATTTTGAATATACTAGTACTGGAGGTTTGCAATGATCAACAACTAGAGACAGGGCTGTCAACTCTCCCGGATAAACTGGGAGTCTCCAGATTTTGGACCRTATCTYYCRGTCTCCAGATTAGAGKCTCAAATCTCCCGGATAATCACTGAAGCTGACCATTTCTTGTGAGACTTGACTTTCACAACCATAAAATTCCAATTATTTTATGTTGTTTGTGTTATTTTACATCACAAAAAATCAAATCAAAACGTTTCTCATAAACTGTTCTTGCAAGCAGGGCATTGTAACTATAAGCGATATTAATCTGATTGGTCAGAAATAAACCGATCACATCAAATGTTACAAAGCAAATGACGTCTTTTTGAGCACTTTTTTCCCCTGTGACATCATCTCCCTTCCCTATCAATTCTCCAGATTTGAATATCTCCGGGGTTGACAGCCCTGTGAGCATAATTTATTAGAAGGTAATTGTGTATTTTGGTTTGTAACTATACTGATGTTTTGGACATTATGAATTATAAAATATGAATTATATTAAGAATCATTATCAAGTATTCAAGCACCCAAAAATGATTTTTCAAGTATGTTTACCTAACTATAAGCAATGGTTTTGCACTGCATTTGCACATGGCCAACTTTCCGAGTCTTCTGTTTCTAGTACCCCTCATAAAAGGGAAGTAATGCTGGGTCGACATTCATATAATAATAATAATAATAATAATAATAATAATAATAA